TGGTGACTTATAGCAGCCATGAGCCAAGCAATCCTCGTGATACTCATGTAAAACTAATTCTGCTTTGAATATTATTGTTATAGAGTGCTACTTTTATTTTTCTCATTAAAATAGATTTTCTTCTCAGAGAGTTATGATAACTATCTTTGATGTCCGTACTGGAAAAGTTATGAGGGATTTCAAAGGGAGCGCAGATGAATTTTCATCTGCTGTTGGAACTGGAGGTGTAAGTGGCGTGTCATGGCCCGTCTTCAGGTGGTATACAATTTTGATGTTATTCCCTCACTTTCCTTTTCTCTTTATGTACAGTCATGCAATGATGGCTCTTTAATCAGATTTTGATGCCCTCTGATGGATTGAGAACTTTTTTATTTCAGATGGGGTGGTGGAAAAGATGATAAGTACTTTGCCAGAATTGGAAAAAATGTTGTCTCTGTGTATGAAACTGAAACGTTCACTCTTATTGACAAGAAATCTATAAAGGTTGAAAATGTCATTGACTTCAACTGGTCACCTACTGATCCCATTCTTGCGCTCTTTGTCCCTGAACTGGGTGGAGGAAATCAACCTGCAAGGGTGAGCTCAAAACTAAAGTGCAACTAGTCTGTTTTTCTCTCATCTTTTCCTTTACTGTGAGCACTTATGTTTCTTTTTTTCCCCTTTACCAGGTGAGTCTTGTGCAAATACCAAGCAAGGAAGAGTTGAGGCAAAAGAATCTCTTCAGTGTTAGTGATTGTAAAATGTACTGGCAAAGTAATGGAGATTATTTGGCAGTTAAAGTAGATCGATACACGAAAACCAAGAAGAGCACATATACCGGGTTTGAGCTTTTCAGGATCAAAGAACGGGACATACCCATTGAAGTTCTGGAGCTTGAGAATAAGAATGATAAGATTATATCATTTGCCTGGGAGCCAAAAGGTCACAGGTTTGCAGTTATACATGGTGATAGCCCGAGGCCTGATGTGAGTTTCTACACGATGCGCAGTGGTAGTAACACTGGTCGCGTTTCCAAACTTATTACTCTCAGAGGCAAGCAGGCAAATGCTCTTTACTGGTCACCAGCTGGCCGGTTCATTATACTGGCAGGGTTAAAGGGATTTAACGGGCAACTTGAATTTTACAATGTTGAAGAGCTTGAGACCATGGCTCAGAGTGAGCATTTCATGGCGACTGATGTGGAATGGGATCCAACTGGGAGGTAATAGTTGCTGTGAAATATTGGAAAACAATTGTGCTGTAGAACTTTTCTTCCCTTGCTTTATAGAAAAAGAATTTTTGATATTCTGTTTATTGTTGTTTAAATGATAATAATAATTTGGTTTTCGACATGCCTAATCTTTTGTTTTGTGCATCCCTCGGTAGGTATTTGGTGACGGCAGTTACATCTGTTCATGAGATGGAGAATGGGTTTAATGTATGGTCATTTAGTGGCAAATTGCTCTACAGAATACTCAAGGATCATTTTTTCCAAGTGAGTTGTATATCTGAACGTCTATCAACATAGTACTAATTTGATTGGTATATGCACCGCTGATGTTCTCTACATATATGTGATATGATTTTCTCAGTTCTTGTGGCGTCCAAGACCCCCAACATTCTTGAGCCCAGAGAAGGAAGAAGAGATAGCCAAGAACTTGAAGAAATACAGCAAAAAGTATGAAGCGGAGGACCAAGATGTGTCGATGCTTTTGAGCGAGCAGGACCGTGAGAAGCGAAGGACTCTCAAGGAAGAGTGGGAGAGGTGGGTCGGTGAGTGGAAGCGACTGCACGAACAAGAGAAGTTGGAGAGGCAGAAGCTGCGTGATGGGGAAGCTAGTGACCAAGAAGAGGAATATCAAGCCAAGGAAGTCGAAATTGAGGAAGTCTTGGATATTTCTGAGGAAGTGTTAAAATATGATTAAATGCCAGTCATGTGTTGAGCACACTTTTGAGGGCCCCAATGTGTCACTCATCAGTTTGAAACCAGAATTTTGAATGTTGTTGAGTACACTTTCCATTTCCTCCTTTTCTTTTAGATTTTAGTACTACTTCAATATTTGTGAGCCAGATAAGTTTGTTTTGCTAAGTTACGGACATTGGATTTGTACCTTTCTTGACTTGTGGTTAGATTTGTCTCTGTGAGCAGTTATTTAAGTCATGCATTCATGGTTGACATTTGAAGCTGTTTTTATCAGTTTGCATCTATATAAGTGAAGCTTTGAGATTATAACAGTTGATTTACTTCATTTCTGTTTAAAAAGAAAAAAGAAAAAGAGATGAACTGACTGAGTGAAACGATTCAGACACTGAACAAATTTTATTGTGCTTATTACATAATTTTCTGGTTTTGCTTATCCTATGGTTATCTACTGAACATGTCATGTGCTTTGGTGGCTTCAGAGTTCAGTACACGTACCCTAGTATCGCAATACCTATTTTTTATTTTTTCCAACGATAATCTTCATAATTTTACTCAAAAAAAAAAAAAGGGAAAAAAATTACAATTAATCAATTATTGGAAGAGAAAAACAAAAATGAGCAACTCCAAAATAATGTTGACAATGATGAGAGAAAAACTTAGCCGTGCTGGTGGCAGGTTGCACATAGAAACGTGTATATATTATTGTATAAATATTCCGGCATTTGATTGCAAAATGCACCAATTACATGGAAAGCACCAATCACATGGAAAAGAACGTCAATTGGAGTGGGAGCATCTCTTTAGTTCAAGCTGATGACTAATATCCTTTTTGGAAACAATCAACAAGCCAGAAAGCTCTTCAACCTTGTCAATGAGGAGCTTCAAAAGTGGCACCTTGGAAAGTGTTCCACAAGAACCCACCATCACCAACTTCTTCTGTTTAACAAAATTGCCAGCATTAGTGATATGATGTATCATCTATTTCCCTAAGAATCTTGCAATACTTTCACGAGTCATTTTAGAGAAACGGAAGGTAATCTGAACCTTGGCACGTGTGAGGGCTACATTAATTCTGTGCCAGTCTCCAAGCAGAGAGAATGCATTATTATTCCTTGGATTTGCACACGACCTCACGAAAGACACCAATATGCAGTCCTTATCTCTCCCCTGTAGATACACAACAACAATACTTAGATTATAAGGAAACTCACAGATAGATAACATCAAACATAAAAAAAAAGTCATGTTTTTACAGTAAAATTATCTTTCAATTTCTCTCGCAAAATAAATTGGAATCTAATCGGAACACATTTTTCTATTCGCTTCCTTCCAACAACGATTTTCTAGATTTTACAATAAATAATGTGCAGCAAAAATGAGATTCTTATTGCTTGGTCCTTGGGTAAATTGATACAAACAACTGTCTGAATTGAAAATCACAGAGCCAAAATTAACATGGATACACAACTAACACGCATTTGGATGTTGCAAATAAAGCAGATCGGTTCAACAATCTTGTGGTAAGTTGTCTTGCTTGTACTATGAGAATGAGTAATTCGACTCTCATTGCAATGACATACTAGTAAATTGATATAATATAAGGTCAACTGTAAACCTGATATTTGTCAATGGTATGTATCTCCACGGGATCACAAACAACTCCTCGAATGAGATTGGCCTGAGAGTTGTATGGAGTAATGATGCCAATATCTTGCACCTCAACCCCTCTCAGTAAAAGAGCTTTGGTGACCTATCAAATGATAACAAAAGAAAAATATGAAAAAAGGATCAGTCATGTCATGTAGAATAACGAGAGAGCAAGCCTCACTAGATCAGATAGACTAAAAAGTAATCTTTACCTCTGCAATAATATTTGCCTCCACTGGGTTGCTTAGAGCCTTGCGATCACTACTCTCGTACGCAGGCAAAGAATCTAAAGAAAAACAAAAACACATTAGTCAAGAGAACATGTAATTACTACAATCAATATGAGGTGGCAGAAAAAGTACACATTGAACCTGTATTGATAAATATTACAGGTTGGCTGGGGTTCAGAACCTGCTGGAAAATAACTGAGTAAAAAATTTTGTAATTCCACTAAAGAAAGATACATAGCCATTCAGACATTAATCATTTTGCGCTTGCAACTCTGTTTCTGATGTGAGATTGTGTTCATACGTTAACGGAAGCCAAGAGCCATATAAAACAATAGTTTTACCTAAGGTGAATGATGCAGAGTCAAGTGCAAATATTACTTGTATTGTAATTCTTCACCAGTCTAGAAAAAGGAAGTTAATGCATTGAAAACAACTGAATATTTTGTTTACACCTCCAGCAGCCATGAAGATATAGATGTTGAACACCTGTACTTGAGCTTTGCATTCTCTATTTCTGTAGAACCACAACGCAACCTATTTCCATATATCAAAGCATTTGACAGCTCCATTATGGCTGCGCACATGCGGTACTGCATAGTATACAAAAATTGCAGTGAGTTTCTTTCTCGCAAGAAAAAATACTTCAATAATTCATTGAAGATTGAGGCACCTGGTAATGGAGAGGTGCGACTGCCTGTGGATGTGCTTCTGAGAGCCTGCAGAAGAGACTCACACTCATTCCATTCTCCTTAGCCTCTGGACTCTAATACCAGGTGTGCAATTCCAATTACTCCACTCAGTCATACAACATAGTATGAGCAACAGATATTACAGAAAATAAATCATACCTGGACAAGTGGCGGTAATTGATAATGATCGCCAACAAGAACAAACTTTGAAGCAAAAGTCAATGGCCCCAGCGAAACCTATAGCAGATACGGAACAAACTAAATTCAACGCATCTATTATAGGGAAAACTATTTTGTAAACAGATTTATGGAAGTTGCTGCAAAAATAGGAATAAAAAACTTTCAGGCATGCATAGATAGAGAAACTTGTGTTAAATCAATCATAAAGACAAACTACATTTTCAACTTAATAGGAGATACTACTTGCATTTGCATAAAATTAGGCGAGAAGTCCACTTAAAGGATAAAATCAGGCAAAAGCGGGACACCATATAAAAATATAGAAGCATGCATGCTTTATGTTTTTGCCATTTTAAAAATCAAATGATGTGCTTCTTATCACACATACTCTTCAGCTAGGTCTCAGATATATAAATTCAATCTATCTAAGATATCGATGAAATACACTGCATTAAAGTAAGCACATGAATCAGTAAATAGAACGGGGAACACTCACATATGCAATTTGATTTCCAAGAAATCAACTTTTAATGTGATAACTTAATATAGCAACAAATGAGTACATATACGTCATATACATTTGTGGATAAGGTAAAACCATACCGGTAGAGTTATCTGCCCTGCTTCGTCCATGATGCATACATCAAATTTCTTCCTACTTAGCAACGGACTAGTTATCCCCAAGCAAGTGACTGCAACAACATTAATTTTATCCAGCTTTTCCTCAATCTCTAGAGTGCTATTCATATTCATTACTGCAGCCACAAAAGTTGGATAAAACATTTGAACAATGCAGCTTGATTAAACAACAGTTATCAAGAAGCAATTATCAAACCTGATAAGGAATTTTCTCGAATTTCTTCATGTACAGTTTCATATCTACCGAGTCTTATAAAATCTATACCCTGCAAACGGTTGGAGCTAATCATGCTACAGAACCTTAAGGAACATGCATCAACAAACAAAAGAAAGAATAGATAAAATAAATATATGTTATAGCAGCCTAGATGTGGATAGTACGACTGCTTAATGTGAAAAAACTATGATAGTAACACCAAACTACATTTTTTATGTTAATAGGCTTTGGGAAGCCGAATCTGAAGTAAGACTTGATATCAGTAGTGGGATCATCAACAATTAGAATTTTAAAAGCTTTATGGTCTTTGGAATCTCATGATGGTCAAAAGATGCAATAATGATAAACAACGACCTGAGCTTTCAACTTGATTAGTAAGTTGTCAACAGCTGAGTTTGTGTAGGATGTAAGCAAAATGGATGAACCTCTCGTCAATAGTGCCTTCACAGCATGCACCATTGTGGATGTCTTGCCTGTCCCAGGCATTCCAAGAACGAGGGCATAATCTTTAGCTGTGAGTATCTGAAAAGAACTAGGCATGAGCATTATCAGCAAGTAGCAAGCCAGAATAAAATTGCTTCTCCTTCAGGGATTGATGGCTATAGTGTGTTCGACTTTCAAAAGAATGGAGAAATTGTATTTAGTTGCAGTTATATACCAGCGAATCTACAATAGGCGGTAAAGAAAAGTATTGAAAAAAAAAAAGAAAAAGAAAAATGACCTTGAGTATTGCTCTTCTTTGATCTTCATTCAAACTTTTCTCGGACCAGACATATGAAATAGCAGGATCCTGACTAAATATGCAGCCACTGTCAAATCTAGGCATCTGCAACCAATGCAGAAGTAAACAAGTGCAGATCGGTGCTGAGTGAATTTCAAGAGAACTGAAGAAAAGGCCTGAAAATGCAGGGAAAACTCACCTCAAGATCAACAACCAACTTCCTCAGATGAGAACTATTTTCATCTTGCAAAAAGAGTTGAATAAGATTGTACCTAGTGAAGGACAAGTGTCACATACTCACATACATCATTTTCATATATTTACATTTTCCTTTCTGTGCCATGAAGAGTTAGCAGAGACCAACTAAAGAAAAACAAAAGAAAGAGATTTTAAGAAGGCTGACCTCATAATTGCAAATGATGACATAATTTCATCTTTGTCAATTCTCCAGGATTGTTGACGGAGAGCTTCTGACATTGACCCAGGATTATGCCAAGGAAGCCTTAATCGCTTTGCAAAAGAAACCTTCAGAAAGAAAAAGGGTCAGATATAGAGGCTTATTACTTTATAATATTGGGTGTTATAAATTATAATTGATACTCTTATAATTTTTTAGCTCTTGATTTTTTTATTTTTTTATTTTTTGGCTGTTTTACAAGTAATTGAATTATTCTTTTATATGAAGATATAATAACTATAACAACTATAATCAATGGGTGATTTTCAATTCCATTGCGCTCGTGAGTTTTGCAAGGTGGATAACTAGTTAAGTATCGGCTGTAAGTACTTACAGAAACATGGGAGTCACCAATGTCTACAATGACTCCATTAGACACTCGTAGATGACCAGGTTCTGTGCTTAATACCTACGAAGATAAAATAAAATATTTGTATAAAAAAGGAGAAAAGCCAACTTTGATAGCTGAGGCATATACAATCATAAAATGCAAATTAGTAACAACCCTGTGCACAGAATAGAGTGAATATGGTAGATACATCATACATGCTAACTCAGTGAAGTTGGATTCTAACACCATTTACCATAAGAACTGTGAGAATATGAGGTAGTGTAGAAGAACACTCTGATGAATGCTAAGGCACGGAGACTAAGAGATAATAGCATAACTGTTTTCTGGCAAGATGCATTATGTATCAATGATCAACACAATTGTAATTAGTTCATAAATTCCAAAAGCAGTTGACCAATACAAAATAAACGAAAAGGTGGTTATTGTAGCCGTACTGCTATATTTTATTTTCATTCAGAGTTCAACACCAAATTCCAGATAATTGAGAGCAAAGACAAATAGATATCCTTGAAGGTGCACGAACTTTCTTAGCCTTTTAGTTTGAGCAGTGTAATTTTACAAGTTTACATAATTTTTATGATGGTAAATAAGTACCTCTAAAATTATGAATGTCATAAGAGTGGAAAGTGCACAGTAACAATCACTTGCAAAGAATAAGGAAATTAAGAACATACCACATAGTCACCATTCCTGAATATATACTCTAAGGAAGAGGACAAATTGGAAGAATGGCCATTTCTTTGTTCTGCGTCAAGTGAATGAATTTGTTGATGCACAAACCGATAAATAAATTGATTACCCCTGAAGGCTTTTCTCTGAGATGGCTTATCAGAAGCATCCAAAATTAGCGATGATAGGAAAATGGGATGGTGATTAGTTTTTGAATTGTCTGAGCACCAGATTTCTTTCCTCGCAACCTAAATCATGAAATTGTATGTCACATATTGACTCAAAACCAGTGTTATCAATGGCTGATGGCGGTACACGGCGGTTTGCCAAATTTCTGCCATGGCGGTCGCCGTGGCGGCCTATGGCGCTGCCATGACCGCCATCCTTCACAAATTTTGCATGGCCGATTGTCAAAAATCCACCATGCCATACCGCCATGGCTGCCATTTGATAACACTGCTCAAAACTTCAACATAATTTATGCCAATCTATTACTCCTACCGCCAAATGTTTAGCCTCCAGATCAATTAATCTCTCCCACTTTTTGAGAAAAGCAATGTGTATGGTCGTTAAATGCGAAACAAGTGAATCGTACACATCACCCACTCCACTTCCTTCAGCGTTTCCACCATGTGCCTTCACACCAATAACAACAAGATAGAAGTCTGGGTGATACATGGTACAATAAAGGAATCAACGCTCCAGTGATTTCATGTTATTTTATTTAAGCTTCAGGCTAAGGGCTCGATTCAATTTTTGAATGACTTGTGCATATTATCATTCCTCTCCAGCACGATATCTGGACTAATCTCAGGCTACAGGCTCGGTTGTTACATAGATTCAACATATCTCGCCAATATTATGATTCAATAAAGTAAGTATGAAACATCTTTAGAAAAATACCACACTGAATAGGTATGGTCCAGGCCCGAATGGCAAAAGTAACAGTCTAGATATTAGATAATGTATAATGCATTGAAAAATCTATGCCAAAGCAGGATAGCAAACCTTGTGGTAAATATTACAGACACTGAGGTGGCGACAGCTTCTGCATATGTTTGGATTCTGCATAGAATTGTATTCAATAAGAAATGTTATTCTTGTGAAAATTCCATTCAGAAATTGAAAGAATAACAGAGGTCAATGTACTTGTAACATTGGTGGCAAGTGCTGAGTAGTCAATGCCTTAAGCAGGTCATTTGCAAGCTCATTACGACGCATTATCAGCCCAATCAAATCAGACCTTCGTACAGAGACTCCCTTCACAAAACATTCATTTAGTATTAAGAAAATATTATGAAGTAACAAGAACCAGGGAACGACCTGATAAGATGTTGATACCTGTGTTTGATCAGTGTGAAGATAATACAGAAGACCATACTCAATATTCATCATGTATCTGAAGGAACATAAAACAAACAAGATATTATGTATTTAGAGGAGTAAGCATTAAATCAGAACAGAATAGTGCAGGGAGAAGTGCTGAAACATCTTTCAGGGTTACACACCTCTCTGACATCAGGAGAGTGTATAACATAACTTGTGCACTATGCTCCATAGCAGTCTGCATAACATATAAAAAACGAAAGGCAAGAATGGAATGCTATGAAGTCAAGTTCTACGCAAAATATGAATGATAAACAAACAAATAAAAAACAGACTGTCAGAGTACATCCAATTAAAAGGCTGCACAGCAAAAATGTTCAGTTTGCTGCTCTTTCACAAATATGGGCTGGATTATCAGATGACTTGCCTGTCCACTAGTTCCCTTCCCAGTCTTGAACTCCAGAGGCATAATTATCTCACTAACTTGTCCTGAGGTAGTAATACTTCTTACACGGACAGAAGCATCGACCATTCCTTTCAATCCATACTTTGGTGCCCAAGCCATTTCTTCAATATCAATTACCTAAACTTATCAAGGGCACATTTATTAACCAATAATGTCAATTATCAGCAAACTTGAAGAATCTAAAAAAAAAAAAAATGTCTAGCTGTCAGAATATTGAGGCCATTAAATCAATTTGATGCAATCTTTTCAATATTATTCTACAAGGTAATTCTAATAGATTCAAAATCTCATGTTGTTTCTTATAATAGTTTTAAAATCTTGCAAAGTCATTCTGGCCATGCCTTACCTCAGAAATTTTGATCTTCTTAAGCCCTTCATCACATTTAAAATCAATGCTTGGACTTGTGGAGCCCTACAAAAGGTTGAGGCATTGAAGTCATGTCAAAGGTTGTGAGTAGCACAGAACAAATGATTGTCTAATTTCAAGTAAGGGGCCAAAGTTGGACATGATGACAAAGAATCACGATTGAGAAAGCATGCATAGTTGGGTGTGACAGCAAAACCATTAGCCGATTTCGTATAAACAGGAAATTGAGATGAAAATAGGAAATTATTAATAAGTAAAAATTTTGGTTCTGTCGTGATTTGTTCAAATAAGGCATTTGAACTCTTTACCATCTGTTGGGGCATACAAAAACTAGACTGAAGAGTGACCCATAATAGAATACGAATCATCCAATCCATCCATTTTTAATGTAACTAGTAAAGTGCCCGTGCAATGCACGTGGTGACAAATGTCTTTGGCCGATTCAGTTTAGCAAGATAAATTAATTAATTTATCAAACATATGATAGCAAGAACAAAATAAAATATACAACAAATAAGGACCTAATGTATATTATAGATGTATTTAGTTTTGACGTTCTCATAAGAAACATTCATACTCAATGGAGCCCTATACATCAATAGTATTGCAAAATACTTCTTAATTAATTTAGTAAAATGTCTGCTTTAACACTTAGAAATACTTTTGCCAAACATATAGTCAAACTTCATAATTGAATGATCATTATAAGGTATTTCTATTAACATTTCATACACATCTCTGTGAAATAATCAATTGTGTCATTAAATTTTGATATTTCTTTTTAATCATTGTATAAACTACTACATTACTCTTTCTCTTTCTCTTTCCCCATATAGACAAATTGGTACTTATCCTATGGAGTGGGAATGAATTTCATCTCTAAATAAAAAGTTGATTTTTCAAAATCATGTCCTTCTCCGAAGACGCTAAATTATTTTTAAAATCATCACACATTACATGAACGTACATACTCGAAAGTAATAGCTCATGTAAATGTTCCTATAAAAAAGTGGCAACTTATTCAAACATTCAAAAATATTTTGATCAGAATCAAACATTCCCTTTCCAGTGTTATTTATTTGGAAGATAGACAAATTACATAACCTATTATTTGCAAATCATTAAACATTTTGGTTGTTGCAGTGATTATAGAGTTCTTTGTTTAATACCTTTCACAATCGATTCAAATTTGTAATATATATGTCTCTAATAACTTATTTAATGCATCTATTGTGAACGTGTAATTTGTCAAAATATTTCAGATGAGAAGAATTTGAATTCTATTATATTATGATATTCTTAGTCATCTGTGAACGTTATTACCATGAAGTCATTATTAAAGTTTGTGGTCAATATTATGATAATATGGAATCATTATTTATGAGCACCAATTTCTTATAGAGAACATACTTTTAAATGCTAGCAACAAAAAAAGTAATAATCTTAAAAGATTTTTGTTTCTTGATATTGATACTCGTACTTCTCTAAGAAAAATCATACTTTTTTTCCCATTGCATTACTATTTTTTTTTACTTACAAATAATATTCTATTTTTGAAAGAATTATAGCACATTTATATGCAGTGTGTTTTTTTACGTGTTTGACAGTGATAATTTATTTGATAAATGTGTACTTTTATATTGTTTATAAGATTAAAAGTTTTGGTTTTTTTCAATTATTTGTAAATATTAAGTAACTAACTCATTTTTATATTCACAAAAAGTATATTTTACAACAATTATAGTGTTCCCTTCAAGCAATAATTGAATAATAGTTTAACATACAATTCATTATTTTATTTTTTTTAATTCACCTAATTAATGTTGGTAATAGTTGTACGTTTACATCCATTTGCACTTTTTTTTTGGTATGAATATTTCAAATATATGTAAGAAAAACTAAGGATAATGGACCGTGCACAGCACGGCCTGGCCCACGGAGCCCTCCTATCTTGAAAATTTTATCTTGGTAGATTTTTTAAATTGTATAATAACAGTTTTATGTTATATCATTCCCTTTCTTCTTTTTGCTACCCTTCATAGTTTTCAAAATGATATATTTAACTGACAATATTTGTCTGATTTAAAATATGTAACAAATTCATTTGAACCATGCTATAAAAAAAATGTCATTGTGCCTCTATCCGTAGACGACACATACAGATACCCACACATGCGTTAATAAAATCTGAAATAATGCAAATAGCAAATGAGACATTTTGATCATAAATATATTCATAAAAGGTTAAAAACTAAAATTATACTCAAGCAGTCAAACAAAATAAAAAAACTATAACAAGCACATCAAATGAAAATTCATATTTATTTGACAAAAAAAAGTATTTGCACACAAAAGGAAGAAAAAAAAAAACTTGCATTAATGCATTCTATGTCTATATCTATGTAATGGATCAATCTTTGTTACTATTATTGACATAATTTTGAGCGGGCAAATATTTTCATCTATATTTAGCATATAATTAACCTTATGTATTAGCAAATTTTATGTACGAACATTAATTATTTTTTGTTTACTCAATGACTAATATTCATTATTATAAATTGACTCCCAATAAGATTATAAATTTAAAGAACAAAGTAATGTGTTGATACAATTAAAAAATTTATCCATTATAATTATGAAAATTACTTTGATTAATTATATTATCATCTCATAGTTGTATAGTTCTAGATATTAATTCATAAGCACTTAAAATATATATCATATAACCAGAATAATTGTTTTTCAATCTATTAACTTAATAAATAATTTATAGTAATAAAATTTGCTAATATGTAGGCAATTTAACCATAAAAGATATATCTCCATTGAATAAATCATTTGTATTGGGACTATATTGAAAAATTAAATTCAATATAACAATAAAATTATTATTTGCAAACGTTAGTTAGTTATTGAGCAATATGCTAAATATGAATTGTTAAAAGAAAGTTATAAGATCAAGATAATTGGCAATTTTATAATTTTATAAGTACATGGAAGTAATTTGTATACAAACATCATGTATAAAATATTAGATATATATTTATGATATTTTATATACTTATAAATAGTGAAAATTTATATAATAAATAGTTATGACATACAAAAATAAATTTTAAAAAAATATTCAAATAAATTTTATATTACTACTGACTTAGTATGTTGTACCAGATAAAATCAGCATATTATCTTAAATAATTTAACAATAATAAAATACTAATTTATCGTATATCTCGTGCATCGCACGGGTATCAACGCCAGTTTTTATTAAAAAGATATCAAAGTTACAAGTCACCAAAAATGGCGAACACTTAAACACATCTCTCCACCCCTCATCAACTATATAGTGCATAGCACTTCAATTATGAACCAAAAAAACAAAGCTAGGCCGAAATAAACTTTAATTGCTTTTAACAACAAAGATATTCCAGTCGAGAAAAATAACATTAGCATATAACAAGCTAAACAAGTTATTAATTTGTAAGGTAAAATAAATACTAAAACCTAAAAAATTACCATCTTAACCAAAAATAGACATATCTGAAGAATACAACCCAAATTCCCAGAAGAGGAACAATTGGCGATGAATCTTTCTACCCAAAAAGATATTTTGGACAGAATATTCTATTTTAATGAAATTGGACAAAGATACAAATTTGGAGTTAGAATCTTAAATCTGAGGGTAAAACTGTCTTCACAATCCTTACGTGTCAACAATAAAAGCCCCATGTATAATAAAATAATATAAAAGTCTATAGTACTCCAAGTGCTTTTTATTAAATAATAGACTATAGATATACCACAAGTTTATGTATTGCTATTTCATAATTAAAAGTAGCATATAAGTTTCCTCATTGTGTAGTCTTATCTTTTTTATTACGTAAAACTTCATTCTTACCTCTTGTTTAGTTATTATAATACTAATAAAATAATAAAGGACTTTTTTAACCTAGATGTGTCTTTTTTTTTAAAAAAAATTACTCCCTCTCATTTTTTTTAAATGTCATTCTAGCTTTATCAACTATTTGCCAAATAGATGTCGTTTTGGATCTTTTGTACATATTTTTCCATTATTACCTCATTTAGCCAATAAATACATTACGTCTTTTCATATTCACTCTTCACTTTTTCTCAAAACATTCATTTCTATCTTCATTAAATAAGGTTATTATTGACAAAAAAAATATTTTTAATTAGTGTCCAACATCTCAAAACGACATATATTAAAAATAGGAGGTAGTACTAATTATCACAAATTAAAGCATAATTACATTGAATGTGTTATATTTTGTATCATTATCAATAATTTTCAAAATAATTAACTTCGCACAATATTATATATAGTGCAAAATTTTTTAGTTTGATTGGAGTCACTTTTATTGTAAAATAATAAAATTCCAATGAAAACATGTTACAACAAAATTTTACGGCAATAATATTTCAATGTTACTACTCGTTTGAATTTTTAAATGAAAATATGTTGTTCGAACCATAGGCAGATCCATGTTTGTTCAATAGTCCCGACATAGGTAACATCCCAAAACATATTGCATAAAATATTTAACAATAATTATGGAAACTTTTTTTTTTTCATAATTTTAATCATGCCCCTTAGTTAGAAAATATTTTTTTAAAAAAAAAAAAGATAAATAATGAATTAATTTACAACTCAACCAATTATAATTTAATTTAGCTCAAAACTCAAATAAAGTTAAAACATAAACGTGGTATCACGACTAAATGAAATATAGTAGTTATCAAAATTTACAATTTTACGCTCTAATTCTATTGTTTCTTTTTTATCTTGATGATAACTTATATTCTCTCTTTTGCGACATAATTTTTATCTAACTTTAAAATATTTTTTATGACTTTTATAAGTGTGTAGAATTTTATTTATATGTTCGTAACTTACACAATGATCAATTATATTATCGAGTAATCTATACTACAACATAAATTTTTTTTCATAAAAGCTTTTTTTAATATATTATTTTTGATGATTTTATAATGTTGAATTGAGAAAAAAATATGCATTAATCAAATATTATTTAACTTATTGTAATAGTATTGATGTGTTAAAAAAGTATTACATACGAGAAAAATGACAAATTATAAGAAGTATAATTTATAAATTGTAATAGCATTATGTTATTTTGATGGTATACTGTTAATATTAATTAAATAGTGCCCCCAACATGAACTTCGTTTGGATTTCCCATTGCAATTAGTTTTTCAATGGAAGTTTCATTGAATTTTGTACAATTTCAATGGCAATTTTTCCAACGGTTGAAATATGGTCAGAAAAAAATTCAACATAAATACTCACATCAGTAAATAATGATAATTGAAATATTAAATTCACAAAAATTTCAATATAATTTAATTTGATCTCTGTTGGAATGTCAATGAAATCAATGGAAGTTATACCAATGAAATATTTGTTGCAATTTTCAGTGGAATCCCTTACCGTTGGACTTTTCCATTATAATATAAAATTTTTGTGTTCTTTCTTAAACATTAAAATTTTTATGTAGTAATTTTTGTCATTTGTTAATTGTATTTATATTTTTTTATTAAAAATATATTAAATACATGTACTTTTTTGTCCATATAATTTTCTTACAAATCACTCGTTATTGTATGTTAAGATTACCTATTAATTTCTCAGTTGAGTCACATTTCCTACATATTAATTAAATTAGTATTATTATATATATGATATTTGTATATTATACTCAAAAGGCTAAAAACAAATAAAAAGTTATTTCCAATTTCAATAATCATTTTTTAAAATAAAACTAAAATCCCTAACCTACATGGATAAAAGTACAAATAACTACAGTCACTAACCTAAAACTTACACCTAGAATATTAATCATAAAAATTAATAAGCGTTTAACAATTCAGTTCGTTTATATCGATAAGTACAAGCTTTAAGAGTTTTATATTTATTAATAATAATTGTAACAATTTTATATATTACTTTTTTTCATCTTTATTAGTAAGTGTTACAATTTAATTATACTTTTATAATTATTTATCAGATTCAATATTTTCTTACTTTATATTTTATTTTCATATACAGCATTTATATTTGTTAAAAAAGCATAAAATTAAGTATTTAACTATTGGGTCATATGTCATATTATCTTCAATTATAGTTGTACATCTTTATATTATATTATATATAAGTACAATTTTCTTATTAATATTGTACTCATATATATATATATATATATATAATATTTCATACATTTTTTAATAAGAAATTGTTTTATTGTAATAATACAAATTAATATATAGATGAGTAATTGTAATATATCGATATAACCTCTTGGTAACATTTAATTAATTTTTAACGTATATAGGCATATCATGATTCTCTAGATATTTTAATTAATTTGAAGTTAATGATGGATAAAAGTACAAATAACTATTGTCTATCACTTAAAACTTACCCCTAGAATTAGTAAGAACAAAAAATTAACAAGTATTTTTAACAACTCAGCTCGTTTACATCGATAAGTGCGAGTCTTAAAAGTTTTATCTTTATGTATTAACTATAACATTTTATTATTACTTTTTTCATATTTATTAGTAAGTATTACAACTTACGTATATTTTTAATATTATTTATTACATTTAATAATTTTTCCTTTACATTGTTCTTATATATTTAAATATATGCATATATATATATAACTTTTAAATTTGTTAAAAAAATGCATAAAATGAAGTATAGAACTTTATAGGTCATGTCTTGTTATATATTAATTGTACATCTTTGTATATTATATAATTAAATTTTTCTAATTAATATTATACTCAAATATAAAACATTTGTATTCCGTACATTTTTAATAAAAATTTGCTTTGTTAGAATAATAAAATAAATAGATAAATGAGTAATGGTAATATATCGATATAATTTATGCTAAAAGTTCATTAATTTTCAAGGTATATAGGCATATCATGATTCTCCAAATATTTTTAATTAATTTTTAAATAATCATATGATCTAAATAAATCATGCTCCCATTCAACATGAAAATAAGTAGTCTAGGTTTTAATATGATACAATTTCATAAAATTATTCTTCTTATTTTAAGAAAAGAAATTGAGTAGATTAGAAGTTTAGACTACAAAACAAAAATTCAACAATTCTCATACTATTATACAATTTATTCTTTTTTATAGGTTATTTTGAAAAAAAAAAATATTTCTATACCTTATGGGCATTATGAGGGCAAAAACATTACCAATTTCAATTTTTTTTTAATTATAGTTGTTAATAAAGATGATTAATGGAGATTATATAATATAATTTATTGGCAAAAATTAATTAATTTCAGTGTATATAGGCATATCATGATTCTGTAGATATCTTAATTAATTGCAGATAATCGTATGATCAAAATTAAATCATGTTGCTCAAGTAGTTACCCATTTCGACATGAAACAAAAGGCTTGACTTTTAGTGTTATACAATTTTATACAATTATTTTAATCTTATTTTAAGTAAAGAAATTGAGTACATTAGAAGTTTAGGTTGCAAAACAATTATTCAACAATTTATCTCTCATAGTAATGAACAATTTATTCTTTTTCATAGGTTATTTTGAAAAAAAAAAAAATATTTCGATTGTTTTTGGTAGTTATGAGAATAGGCAATATCAATTTTAAACTTTTTACTTATAATTATTAATAAATTTTACTAAATAGATATTGTTAAAAGAATTATCTTATATACTTACGGTTAAATAAACTTTCAAACTTATTGAGAAAATAATAAAAACATTTAAGAATCTTAAAATAAAATCAATAAATAAAATAATTAATATATAAAAATTTGAATAATCATTGTTTATAGAGCGCTCATCTTGAAAATCAATTGCTCAAATGAAGCGATAATAATTAAAATGTCATGATATATTTTTGTTAATAATTGAATGAAAAAATTAAAATTTTTTAAGTGTTAAATGTTAAAATATTACGCAACTTGATACTCATCACATAATGGTCATGTGGAGATTCGTTAAATTTATTAGCTTTGCGACCAAAATTTGAAAATACAAACCATTAAACAAATAAACGACAATTTTTGTGGGATCAAAATTCAATACAATAAAACTAAGGTGCAACTTCTAATTCTAATTCTAAATATTATTTTCTTAAATAATGAAGTGGTCTTCACTTTTCTAGTTTGTTAGATTATCTATATATATATTTCACGTGTGCATGATTTTGGAAAAAAATTAAATATCTTCTCTTACTTAAAGTTGAGTATGTATCTTTGAAATTATTTATTATATTCAAGTTATCCCTCAACTAAGTTATCATGGTTTACCAAGATTTATCGTTTTGTTAAAAAATAGGTAAATATTGAAAATATATGGATTCTTTATAAGTATTTATTATGTTATTTTTGTTGCATCATTTTATCTTTAAAGAACTTTACATATAAAAACCAAAGTTATCATGGTTTACCAAGATTTATCATTTTGTTAAAAGATATGCAAATATTGAAAATATTTGGATTCTATAAGTATTTATTATGTAGTTTTTGTTGCATCATTTTATCTTTAAAGAACTTGATATATAAAAACTATTAAATATGATTACGATTTTGTCATTAAAATTATATTAAACATATTAACATAAGGACTTTTTTCAAAACAACAATTCAAAATCATTTCAAAACTTTGTTGTTTGTGTTAATGTTGAGTTGGTTTTTTTAAGATATGGAAGAAAATAGTTTGAGAGATATGTGGAAAAAAAAAAACAAATTCTTTAGGAGTAATGGTATGAAATAGTGAATTTTTAAGAGATGTGGAATGCCTTGTTTGTGTAATTGTGTTTAATTAATTAAATATTAAATGAATATTAGTGCATTACTAATTTGACATTTGTGTAGATATCAATGTATTACTTATTTAACATTACAAATATGTCAAATAAAGGGATTTTAGGTAAATATTAATTATTAACTGAATATATAATATGAGATAGATATTAGTGTATCACTAATTTGCCATTAAAAATATGTCAAAATAAGGGTGTTTTAGGTAGTTCATTTTTATACAAAAACACTCGTCCTTTTATAGTAGTATAGATAGATAGATATAGATATAGATTAGCTGATCAGGATTATAGTATAAACCTGTCACTAAAAGACTCACATTATTTATGCCGTTGTGTTCAGAATGTATCAAGACCTGAAGACTATTTACATTTCCCACCAACAAAATATACTAACCTCTGAATCACGAAAAGAGGATATCCAATTCAGTATCTTAGGAATTGCCCCAATCAAAGTCTTCCAAATATCCTTTTCATTCGCTGCAATAACACAGGAAATTAGAGTTAGGGTCAAGAACAAGCAAAATAACTGTATCTAACATATCTATCTATCTATATACATATATATATATATAGAGAGAGAGAGAGAGAGAGTTATATATATACATATATATATAATTGTAGGCAATTCAATTAATGCAACCGAAAAAATTTCCCGCCCTTTTTTCAATTAATTGTAGAAGAAAATAGTTGCATCTCCCCTATATATAATTCCTGAATGCGCTGAGCCTACGTGGCTGCTTCTGGTGCTTCGGAATCCTACTTGGCGAAGAATCATGCTGTGTAATTAGGTTTGGACAAATATTATTGATATATTAAAAATTAATAATCTAGGTTCTGACATTCCATAAATATTATTTAACTAACTTAGGTATTTTAATATCACTTGTACTAATATAACCCTTTAATTCTTTGTAATCTTACATAGCGAGTCACTAAATGACTAATATATCCCTGACTTTTGATTTGCTTCCTCCAATTAGCTATTGAATTGTAAATGTATTTTGAAAGTTGATAACTTTTGTATTTTTTATCGGTTTTACATATATAATATATCAAATTAATCATCTTTTGATGATATTCGATTTGACATCCATATTGTATATATGAAATAAATGAATTATATTTATCTTTATAATAATAAATAATAATAATATTTACTAAAATTCATTAGAAAAAATAAAATTATTTCTCAATTGATATATTTATGTTTAATGTAGTTATATGTTGTAAGTTAAAAAGATTATTATAATATAACACAAGTAAGTCGCACAAATAAAAAGTGTCATATTAAATATATAATAATATATATTTTTATAAAAAGTATTTAAATTTTCAACTACTTTTTCTCATTAATTTTGCAAGCACCCGTGTAATACACGGGCGTTGTATACTAGTTTTACATTAATGTGTAATAATAATTTTTTTAGTATTTTATTATATAATAGTTACAATAAATACTGGCTAATTATAAATTCACATTAAATATTATATGAAAGTTACATACATAAAAAAAATCTATCGCAATATTTTTTTTCATGATATTTTTACGTTTATGTGTGATATTATATTTTAATATTTTATTATATAATAGTTACTACTAATACTAGTAAATTATAAATTTATATCAAATGATATGAAAGTCACATACGTACAAAAAATTCTATTGCAATACTTTTGCTTCAAATATTTATTTTACGACCAATATCATTTTTCATCTCATCTCATTAAGCGATTTTTCTTTTAAAGTTATCTAATTGATTTTAATGACATAATCAAAACTCCTAAAATCACATAAACAATTTTTATGACAATAATAAAAATAATTTATATTTAAATTGTTTATTTTTTACTACAATAAAAATTTAAAATTTGATATAGCAATTATCTAACTTATAATTTTAAATAATATATGTACATATATAAAATATAATATTTCAATTGCATCATCTGGATCGAGTACTAGTTCATTTTCAAAAGCACATGCACCTAATTTAATGAAAATAATGAGATGCAAAGTATTAAAAGAGAAATTAAGAATTTTCCACCTTCACATGCGTATATGCTCTCCAGATTTTTCTGAAGCACTGTTTTCGCATACTCCTCCAAGAATTCTTTTGTAGGGAATCCAGTGATGAGACCAGCCTGAAAACAGAAGTATTTTTGCTCACGGAAGCATAGGCATAGCTTGTCGCTAATTCAATGTGTGTGATAACTCTTTTTCTAATTACCTGATATATCTGATGCAATAAGGTACCCATCAATGCTGCAATAGAATGCTCGTTATGCTTTAATCTCTCATCAAGGATGGTGCGTCTTGGGCAGCTGAAACTCGCAGAAACCTAGAGTGTGTCAATTTTAGAAAAATGTCAGAAACAATTGAGGCAACTGATGATAGTGGGAAATACTGAAGCTGATAACCATAAAATACATCCCTTTAGTTAGTGACTCATACGTAAAAATCAACAGAAGTTGAAAATACTTCAAACAAAGTACGAGTAATAGAGAATACCCGAGTACCAGAAACCAAGATATCAGGGTGGACAATGAGAAAATTTCTCTTGCAATTCACATCACACTTCCCCAGAGCATCAAACTCACCAATCACATTAACAGTATCTCCAGGAGCAACAACACTAAAGTACCTGATAGGAGAGGAAATGTAATGATCCTACATATTAAGTTCACAACCTGAACCATAAGACAATGTAACTACTACTTATGCATAATTTTGACAAATTGATCATTCCAAAGGAGAAAATCACAATTAAGAACATAATAGAACAGAGAGATGAGAAAGGCAACAGGAGCAGGCTACTAGTCATAGGCGGATATGATTAGAAACTCTGTTAAAATAGTTCTGTTTTATGTATAAAATACAAGAAACGACACCAGATATATAGTGGATAAATCTCAAAATTCAGTGAATGGTGAATTCAAGTGTTTTAATATCTTAGCAACCTTTCTTCAGTTGGTGTGAAATGACATACATGAAATTCAGGTGATATTACTTTGGACATTACTATCATCAATCAAAGAAAGCCAATGCTCAAAGATTTGAGTGACATTAAGATTTGAGTGACAATTCCTTAATGGCAAGAGCTTAAGACGGCATGTATTTAGTATAGCATTTGCAATCAACAAATGCATGGAAGTATTAGCCCTACTTCACAGAGTCATTATAGTAATCCTATGAGTAAACATAATAAGATTACTTTTTGCTTTGTAAATCTCCATCAACTCACCATTCATCCCACAGTTGCAAAGTTTGTTCTGTTCCATTTCGTTCATTTAATAAGCGCAGCACCTGAGATGTGATTCCTCGTAAACCAACAGATTATAATGTACTAAAAGGTGTAAGTCACCATTCTAATATTATGCAAACCTTAAAGGATGTTTGAGAACCTGATGATTCAGCACATCCACGCTTCTCTGAAACCTATAGCACAGGAACACAATTATCGTCAATGGCATGGAATTTCCTAATACTCGAAAATGATAGGTTTGAGTGCACACCTCCAACACAAGAAAATTGCAGTTAGAGTCTTTACTACATTGAGTTTGCTGCGAATTGTTGAGCCAGTTGTTTACATCATTGTTTTGACGTCTCTCATCATCTAAAAGCATTTCCTTGGCTTTACATGATGAATGCTCAACAGACATTACATCTTCTACTTGATCTAAAAGTTCTATTAATGCCTGCAAGGGGATGAATATTTTGGGCATTAAAGTTTAATGTTAGATATTTAATAGTTGTGGTCTGAGATATACCTACATATATATACAATATAAGATGGTCAATGATACTACAACGAGTGAAAGAAAATTGGGGAACTAGGGAAATGTTTGGCAATATCACCTATGCCTCCATTTTCATTCCCCACAATAAAACCACACACTTGTAATATGTTTCCTATAACATTTTCAGTCATTCCTATTGACAGAAGACAGCCTTAGAAAAACACACCACCACAGGCACTAACATGTTATTTTGAAACATTTTTCCCCAATACTCTGCCCCAAAAGATCAACGTTGAGTTTAATAAATTAAGAGCATGTTTGTGTATAGAAATTTTTGGTTTTGTTCGGATTTTTTGGTTTGGTTTGGTTAATTTTGAAAAAGGTAGTATGGTTAGTTGTTAGTGGATATATTAAAATAATGTTTAAAATAAAATAATTAAATGATTTGATATAAAAGTAGGAGAGATGGTTTGATGTGATGGTTAGTTAAAATAATGTGAGTGGATGAATAGTGAATTAAGGTTGATGTAGTGTGTATGAATAATTGATTAATATTATTTAATTATATTGATAATAATTGATGATAGTGGGGTTGGGTTAAAGTTGAGTTAAAAAAAAAGTAGTTGAGCTAAAATGTGAGAAATTTTTGGGAAAATTCCATATACAAACATGCTCTAAAGATGATGATGTAAATGAAGATGGAATTTAGAAGAATCAATAACCTTTTTGTGCTGCCTTGAACCCAGCTCATCCAGGCCGCTATCCAAATCCACGTCCTCAAGTGCCTACATCTCATCAACTGTCAGAATCTTCAACAAAGAAGAAAAGATACTGGCTCAAATCTACATTTTTACATAAAATTTAAATTTATATCACCTTTACAGGGCAACAAGACAGAGATGGTGGAGTGCTGAAAGGGCTCTGACTATTTCGTGCCTCAGATTTATCACTGCTACTTGTATTTCTAGTGTTCTCACAGCAGCTTATATCGTGAGGGGGCTTGAGCTTTTGTGAAGCTTGCCTGTGAGAGCATGACAAATATTTTTTTTCTGGCTTGAGTGGAGGCGAAGATAGCCATTTTTCAAGCTGTCCTGACATTCCAGGAGAAGTTTGTACCTACCAATAGAAACTATTATTAATGTGAAAGAAAAAATAAGAACATGGAGGTAAAATCATAGCAAAAGCTATTAGACCTTTTTCTGTGAACATGGCTGAAAATTCAATGAGTTGAACCTTGTAGAATCAGCCAATATTCTGGCCTTCCTTGGTAGATTCTTGGACATAGCATTAAGTCTCTCATTAACAGGTGAAATTTTCCATGTCACCTCATCAATAATATCATCCTGGCTCTGCTTAATTAACTAGAAGAGAATACAAGGAGCTTAATAGATAAAAAGAAGTTTTGGACTACTGTTACATAAACAGGAGTAATAAATATATTATGTATAGCCAGATATACTGATATACTACAAATATACACATGTCCATACACATGTGTCCTTCCCATCCCCAAGACCCCAACTTCAAATAGTCTAACCATGTGTCCGATCAGCTAAGAGTGGTAGATCATAAGTAATAACGTACAGAAGAAATTGACAAACTAAAGTGGGTCATTATGATTACCATTCCAGGGGAAAACTTGAAACGTTTAACAGAGACGGACTTGGAGGCCTCCGGTGACACCTCCAATTGATTATCTAAATCATCTATCATCACCGATATTGTATTCTCTATTAGTGAATCTTTGGAATTCTCAGCTTGCTTCAAATATTTTCTTTTGTTTATATCCGCGAGTTCTAAATTGGAACCGTTCCCAAAAGCTCGAGAAGCCCCATCAGACTTGTTGGGGAGGGGCAAATGATCTCTGCATCCAACATTCTCAGAAACACCATCATTGGCATCAATCGAAGTCTTGGTCACAGGCTGAATCTTCTCTGTATTGGGCATGCTAACTGGATTCTCATCTCCCACTTGAATGGGATCCAAATTATTCTCAAGCTTACAATTTAAAAGGGGTTTAGGTACAAGTTGTGGGTTGTGGCCGGTGGTTGATGCAGAAATTGAACTAGGATTAGCATCTCCGCCATGAGAGAGGGTTTTCTGGCTCTGAGAGTGGCGCTCGAAGAAGTGTTGTATCCCAAATTTGGAAGGATGAGATGGTTGCTGCTGCTCCCGATTCGAATGGCTCAATTTCTTGCTCGCCTTCTTCCTCGAAGCCATTAATTGGAAATTCCAGAGGGGCTTATCCGAACAAGAAACCGAAAAAACAAAACTTAAAAAAAAAAAAAGGATAATATACTATGCTAACAAGTGCAAGGGAAAACCAATCGACCACCGTTCCCACTCTTTCTCCAACTTCACATCCTACCTCACTTCGCTTCCGACACCCCCAGCCGCCTTTAACGCCGCGCCTGCTCCGTATCAACCTCCTCGAACGATCCCTTTAGCCTGAAACGGAGCCTCCGGTGGTACGCCGCCCGCAACTGTGCCGTCGTCCTCTCGTATCAGTGGCTGGCTTCTGTGCTCTTCTCCGCCTAGTGCTACACCGAATCTCGTCGATTTAATTGGACAGATTATGAACAAAGATGGTGTAGGTTTTACAATTTCTTGACCATTTCACAGTCGTGATTGGGAATGGTGAGTTTTTCATTTCCCGCCAAAAACGTCGAGTGGGTTTATTTTATTTTTTTACGTGATGCAGGTTGTGAATGTGTGATAGATCATTGTGAACAGAGATGTCGGTCTACCCTTAGCGGTTTCGGGCTAGTCCTAACAGACTTCGAGCTAAACGGTCTAGGCCTAAAAAACAATTTAAACGGGCTACCAATAAAAGGATCGAACCCTAACCCTAGCGGGCTTCCGGCTATGCGGACTATAATAATAATAATGTATCAAACATAAAAATAAAAAAATTATAAAAATTATACTTTACGACAAATTAACGATTGTTTTCAACGGTATTTAGTATTTACCGCTCTATATATACAACTACACATCATATATGAACACACACTACAAACTCTTAAATAACATATTTTTTTCAAAAGAGAAAAAATATTCGAAATATTACTTACAATTATCATTTTACTACTACTTTGTACGCTTTGAAAATTTTTACGATATTATATCATTATAAATTATATCACTATGTTTCATGTGTTTCCTATTAGTCATTCTGATTGACTTAAATATTTTGGTGTGGAGTACAATAAGAATATTGTTAATAATTATCTTTCAGAATCATTATAATTCATTAGAGCTCATACTTACATTGGAATAGCAAAATTGTAATAAACAATTAATCTAAGAGCATATTACTTGCTGCAAACATTTACAACGCCGAACTCAAGTTAAACGGGCCAGCCCTAGCGGGTTTCGGGCTAGCCCTAACGGGTTTCGGTTTAAACGGTCCGGACCTAAAAACCCTGATTTAAACGGGCTACTAATAAAAAGCCCTAACCCTATTTTTTTCAGGCTAAATGAGTCGGACCGTCGGGCCAAGAACAGTTTAACATCTCTAATTGTGAATTATGTCTTTGCTCAACACAATATTAATGTTAGGCTACTTTTTTTAAAGGTAGTTCTTACATGTTGAAAGATTTATTTTGGCAAAAAAGTTCAAAATGATATATTGAAGATATGTTCTTGCAAGCATAAGAAATTTAAAAAAAAAAAAAAAAAGAGAAGTTCTTTTATTTTGTATATATTCATATATTTTGTTATATATATTTATTTTAAATAAGATTTGCATGATCTTATGTTAGTATTTTTATTATAGGAATGGATATGCATGGACAAGGAAAGAGAGACATTCACAAGAAGGAGATCTTGGATAGATCAACACTTACCATAAATCTTGCAAAGGAAATCGGATCAAGGCTAATATACATGGACTCATATGGAAGTTGGAAAGGGAAGTATTGAAAGGAGATCAAAGATGATTTTTACTTTTCATGTTTCTACATTATTTTGGGAAAGAAGATCAAGAGGATCGTGCAGCAAGGAAATAACCTGGAGAAGACTCCAAGCCTAAGAAGTTGTATATATACTCTGCTTGAAGATCGAAGAAAGGTTGCTGAAATTATTATCTTCCATTCTATATTCGAGCTTCAAACTTTTTCAGTTTTATTTCTGTTGTTCAGTTTTCTGTGTTCTTACGCCATTAAAGAACTGAACTCTTTTGTTTTGTTTTCTTTCGTTTTTATTCAAACACTTTTATGATCAGTACTTACTAGTACGAACCCCCGTGCGATGCACGGGTAAGAGATATTTATTAATATTTATAAATTAAAAATTTCAATGTTATTTGAAATTTAAATTGTACAAAAATCATATAGGACATGTTTATTTAAAATTAGTACACGACCCGATAACGAAGCGCAGATTGAGTGGTAAAATGTTTCACATATAACCAATAGGCCATGAGTTCGAGTAACTAAGTAGGGGGTGAGAACACTATTGATCCTCCTTAAGAAGAAAAAAAGAGGTAAAATTAGTACACAACCCCTGTGGTGCATGTAATTAATAATAAAATACATTATATTCATTTCAAAATAAGTGGCATTTGAAATTCTTATCCAGAAATTCGATTTGACTAATATGTGGTTCCATAAAATAATTATTTTGGTAAAATTTAATCGTATCATTAAAAATTTATATTTATATGAATAATAAGTATAAATTCACTTTAGCTAACAAAATTGAATCTTTTATCATAAAAACATAACTTCAAATTCTTAATTACCCGTGTGAGAGACGGATGAAATCTCGCAAAATGCAACCGAGCTATCACACAGTATCTCTTACCCGTGCTTCTGACACGTGTACGTTGTCAGATGATTCCGGTACAAACATTATTCAGCCAACACGAAAAATCATTTTTCATTATTCATGTTAATCTATGTCGTCTTGATAAAATGAGTTGGTGTGATTTCAAGTTGCTTTAAGAAGTCTTTATGCCTTTCGGAAGAGCTTGTTGTCCACGTCATGTTGATTGATATCGGCAATGTATGTGATGGAAAATCATGATAAGTATTGATGGCTGCTTCTCCATGATGTCCCTCCACTTGGTTTGATTGTCGGTGATGACTACTCGGGACTTGGACTTCAAATGCACAATTGAATTGGCCTTTGCGATGCGTTATCCTAAGGTGACGTTGAGTGGCAAGGTTGATGGTTCTTCCGGTGCAGCTTAGCCTTTGCGATGCGCTATCCTGAAGTTGACGTTGTGCGGCAAGGTTGATTCTTCCGTGCAGCTTGGCTTTTGCGATGAGCGGCAAGGTTGATGGTCCTAGGTAGATGTTGTGCGGTAAGGTTGATTCTTCCGTGCAGCTTGACTTTTGCCATGAGCGGCAAGGTGGATGGTCCTAAGTAGATGTTGTGCGGTAAGGTTGATTCTTCAGTGCAGCTTGGACTTTGAGATGCGCTGTGATGTCGAGCGACAAGGTTGATTCTTCCGTGCAGTTTGGCCTTTGAGAATGTTGTCCTAGCATTGGTTGTAGCTCCATCTCTTGTTGAGTTGTGTTGGTTGTGGCCGCTTGCAAGATCCATGCCCGAACAACACTCGAATCACCTCGCTTTAGCCCAGAAGCTCTGAAATAGTCTTGGTTCAATCTAAACAGCTCTCAAATTGCCTCGCTTCAGCCCGGCAACTCCGAAATAGCCTCGGTTCAGCACGGACAACTCCAAAACGGCCCCACTTCGGCCCGAACAGCTCCGAAACAGCCTCGCTTCGGCCTGGACAGCTCCGAAACATCCTCGCTTCGGCCCGGACAGCTCCGAAACTGACTCGCTTTGGCCCGAACAGCTCCAAAACAGCCTCGCTTCGGCCCGGACAACTCCCGAACAGCCTCGTTTAAGCCCGGTAGCGGAAAAATAACTTTTGTTTCAGTCCGGACAGCCCCCATATCAGTCTGTTTCAGCCCAGAAGCAACCGAACAACTTTCGTTCAGTCCTAACATCACTCTGACAGCCCGTAAGTAGCCCGACAGCGATATGAACGTCCCGAAAAGCTTTGCGAGCATCCCAAACGTACATGCTGCAGCTCAAACATAACAGAAGAAGGAAGATGAAACGAAAATAATGGAAAAAGAGTATGCTTATACCTTTTGGGCAATTGATCAAACATTTGATGGACAGGAGTAGAAGATGTGGGAGTTGATGATAACTCTTTGATATATCCTGCCAAAATTTGAACAAAACAGCAGCAGTACAAAATACTCAGTAGCAGAAAGCAGAGAGAAAATAATAATAAAAATAATGATAACAAAGAAGGGAAAGCCGATGTATCTGATCTTCGTATGTGAAGGAAGACAAGGATATCTGAGGCCTTTTTATAGCTGCGTTTTGAAGTTACGTAGACCTAAGGAAGTAGAGTTTGATAGAGAAAAGAACTGAGATCCTACTGGAATTCTATAATTTTGGAACTTTTATGTGCTATGTGTTTTAGGAGAAGGAACAAAAACGTACTGGAGTTTGATGAGGAATTAGAAAGAAAAAGGAGTTGCTAGTATTCTTATTGATGTTGGGCTAATAAATTGGGATACATCAAAATTATGAAAGGAAGTTGGATACCCTGCGTGTAGTATTAAAAATTTGGGCCAATTCATTTCTTGGGCCTAGTCAAATGACGGGTCGATGGAGAAATGTGGATATGTTCTTCACGTGCGTGGGCTAATATTGGACTATTTAAATGAAGAATTTGATATTGGGCCGTTTGAGATGTACACGAGTCTGTCTAAGGTGACTTTGTGGGCTAATCTATTAAGCTTTTTTTGATTCTCATGGTCGATAAGTCCATATCATTGTCTTCGAGGCCTGAGTTAAGAAATTCGTGACTTATTCACTCCAAGACACGTCGTCCGTGAACAAGTCTCGAGGGGGCATTTGTAGACAATTGAATTTTGAGCCAATTAAATGGCGACAAGTGTCAAATTCCATGTCATAGTCAATTTAATAATTTTCTATTTATTTGGGAAATTAATCAATTTTTAATTCCTAAATTAAATAGTTAATTAATTGATTATTTAATATACATTGTTAGCCAATTAAAAAATGCCACGTGTATATTTTAAAGGCCAATTAAAGAATACCACATATCATTTTCTGGAGAGTAAAATAAATAATTATTTCTTTTAATAATTATTAAAGAGATAAATAAATAGAAATTCATGGACCAATCAAATTGAAGTCTTCTTTTCCAAGACTCTCTCTTCTAATTA